TGTTTCTTCCCAAGTCTTCTGAGTTCTAAGCTTATTAAACCAAAGTCATCTATGCCAAAATCTCCTCTCCTCTTTCCCTGGCCTCAGCAACTGGCACTTCTCTCCATCTCCTATGTAGTCTTCCAGGTTAGAAGCTTGGGCATCTGGCTCAGCACCCATAGTTCAGTGATTATGGCACCGGCCACATCCACCAGGGCTGGCAGCTTTGAACCTGGCCTGAACCTTCCAAACAACAATAACAACAACAACAAAATAGCCGGACGTTGTGATGGGTAACTGTAGTCCCAGCTACTTGGGAGGCTGAGGCAAGAGAATCGCTTAAGCTCAAGAGTTTGAGGTTGCTGTGAACTATGACGCTATAGCACTCTACTGAGGACAACATAGTGAGACTCTGTCTCAAAAAAAGAACCTTGGGCATCAGCCTGAATTCTGCCCTTCTGCACTCCACACATCCATTTAATCATCAGATGCTATAAATTCTACTTTCTGAATTTTTCTTAAACCCACTCATTTCTCTTATTCTCCTGTTTGGTCTCAGTCTCCAGTTTCTCCTCTCCCAACCAGCCCCCTTACTGTGTCAACTGGAGTGATCTTTCTAAAATGCACATGTGATTCTGTCACTGCCCTGCTTAAAGTCCTCCAGCAGCTTCCCAGTTTCCTAAAGATAAACTTCATTAACATTGCTCACAAGGCCTGACTCTGCTTTTCCATCCTCCTTTCTTTTCTCTTTTCTATTCATGATTTACCTCATCTATCCTGAACTCCTTGCATATTCATTTCTTGCTATTATCGCTATCCTCATGAGTTAGGGCAATATTTGACCCCCTCCCTCTTTAGACTATTACTAGTTTTGAGCTGAAATCTGCTACTTTGGCTCTCCCATTAGGTCTTTTCTCTTTCTGCCTGAAACTGCACAAATTGGCTTTTTCAGGCATGACCAGCACAGAGCACAGGGGGAATTGTTATCCTTTCTTTTAGTCACTGTATTCCTAATAATGCTATCTAAAGGAGCACTGGGTTTTTAGCAGCCACATCTTTTTTTTTTTTTTTTTTGAGACAGAGTCTCACTTTATCGCCCTTGGTAGAATACCATGGTATCATAGCTCACAGCAACTTCAAACTCTTGGGATTAAATGATTCTCTTGTCTCAGCCTCCCAAGTAGCTGGGACTATAGGCGCCTGCCTCAGTGCCTTGGCCTTCCAGAGTGCTAGGATTACAAGAGTGAGCCACTGCACCTGGCCTTGTAGCAGCCATATCTTAAGTCCTCTTTTACTTAGGCAGTCTGGTAAGCCATGTCTCTCTTATCCTGTGCATTGGCATAGTGGATTTTCTGTATCTTAACATAGAAGCTGATCTGACATTTGTCCTGATGTAAGCCCTTACTGAGTTCTATCTTGTTTGCTGCAGCCTTGGGTTCAGTCTGTGGAGAGATAGTTTTAGCATCATTTGAAGCCCTATAATGTAAAGTAAAAGAAATACTCTTTTACCATATAGATCAAGGATCTGGGCCCAGAGAATCTCAACACCAGCCAGAAGTCACACAGTAAACAAAGCAGCAGCAGCACCTGCAGAAGAGCTCAAGGGTCCTGATCCTCCTCCCCATGCTTCTCCTAATACGGCACATGAATTCCCATAGCTAACTCCAACCACTGCACATACTCTCAGCTTTTAAAACAACTAGGTTAAATTGCTCAGATTTTAAATGATATTAATTGTTTGCCAAGAGAAGGAACAACAGCCTCTTTGCCCATTTGCCCTATCAATGGAGGCCTGGTCACTGTCTATAGCGAATGTATCCTGCTTTGTATGCTTTCTTACTCTGTAAAATCTTTCTCTTCCCCAAGAAACTTTGTTTCACACTTAATAAAAGAGAGAGAGAGAAAGGGGGAGAGAGAAGGAACAATAGAAATAGCATCACTTTGAGGAGCTGGAAACCTCAGTTTCTACACTACTGATAGCCTCTGCCACTTGAAAGTGCTCCTCTCTCAAACTGCCACAGACAGAGCTCAGTGGGAGAGCCCGATGCTTTCTTCTAAAGCCCGGCATCTGTCCCCCTCACCCATCTAATAACTGCTACTCTCTTTTAAGATACTATTTTACAGACAAGAATGAAACTTGCCCATGCTATAATTAGGGTTAAGAAAAGTTTTTTCTTTTGGGGTTTTTTTTTTTTTTTTTTTTGAGACAGAGTTTCACTATATCCCCCTTGGTAGAGTGCTATGGCATCACAGCTCACAGCAACCTCAAACTCTTGGGCTTAAGTCATTCTCTTAGGTAGCTACAGGTGCCCGCCACAACACCCGGCTGTTTTTGTTGTAGTTGTCCTTGTTGTTTATCAGGCCCTGGGCCGGTTTCAAACCTGCCAGCCTCGGTGTATGTGGCTGGTGCCCTAACCACTGAGCAACGGGCGCCAAGACTAGGGTAGAATTTTAAGAAGGCAAAGCAGTACACTTATAACTTGTCACAAGAGACAGGACAGAAATTAACTACTTCATTATGGAGATTAAGAGGAGGTTTTTAAGCCTTATTTCTTAGCAGTTTCATATTTCACAGGAGTGAAGATTGGCCCATCAATTATAAATCAACAGAGCTGCCATGCAATGTTCCGTAATTGCTCTCAAAGATTAAAAATTCGGTGTATGAAAGTTGGTCCTTCCAGAAAGAGGAAGAGAGTTGCCCATGACCTTGGAAATATTGTAAACTAAAGACATCCTGTCTTCTCTGTTGAGTATCCCTGGTCTTTGGATTTTAAGCCTATTTCCCACACTGCTGCCAGGGCTCTTTCTGAAACTTTATCTGACCTGTCCTTTATTTTTAGTCAGAACTGTCATAGTTATAATCTTCAGAAGTCTGTCAGTGTTAGAGTAAGCAAAAAATTGGTGTAAGAACATTGGTGAATCTCATAGCCATGCCTTAGGAACATACTGAATGTAGGTCCTAGGCGCTGTGGAGCAGCCTGGAAGTACTGTCTCTCACCTTTCACATCTGCCCCTCTCTCTCACCACGAGACTATTTTTTTTTCACAAATAGGCTAACTGTATCCCTTAGGGCCTTGTGATGAAAGACAAAGCTTCTCAGAGCTTCTAATTATGTGACCGCTCCAGCCTCCCTTTCACAATGGCTAAGAATGTGGCAGATTGCCTTTCCAATCTTCATGGTTTCACTTAAACATTGCCTTCCCCAAGTGGGTGCCTTACCCACATTGTAGTGTTTGTGCATACAGTGTATCCATTTACTCCATAAGACTACAAGCACTTAAGGGGTGTTCTTTTTTTCTTTGTAATCTTAGTACCTGGCTATATAAATATATGTTAAAGAAATTCATGAGTGTGAATGAACAAATGAATTAGTAATTCGTTCATTTTGAGAGAGTACACCCTCACTAAATTCTTCTGTAATATATTCCTAACTTCAGGTGTATATGACAGTCCTAGCTTTTGAACTCACTGCCTACATTTGTTAAGCTCACTTTCTCTAGCCCAAGCAATGGCTACCTTTATCCATCTCCCCATCCTTTAATCCACATGGGGCTTGAAGATGTGAATGTGAAAGGTGGTATGCCACAGTGGAAAGGGCCTGGATCTGGGGAGTTGAGAAGACCTAGGTTCTAGTTTGAGCTCTTTCACTTTCTAGTTATGAGACTTTAGGAGCTTGAGTTTCCTAATCGGAAAAGGAAATAAGTAAGTGCTATTCTGTGATAATACATATAAAATGCTTGACACAATGCATTTTCCCTTCCTCTTGTGCGTGTGTTCTGTGGCTTGTATACGTGTATGCTGTATATATTTGTGCCTATGTGTACTATTTTGGTATGCGGGTAGGATGGAGTATGAAGGTAAGAATCAAAATGTGATTTGAATCATCTGCCTGTGTTTGCAATAGAGTAGACTTCATCTACTTGGGGGCACAAATTAGGTCACATTATGTAATACCTAAAATGCCCCCACTTCTTCCTGCCCACCTATGTGATTCAAGACATCCTGCTCCTTGAATCTCACTCTTAGGTGTTTCTGGGAATCCTCAGAGAGTTTAAGAAGAGACTTCTCAACTCCTTACTTGCATTTTATGAAGGCATTTCAGAAGAGAACCTCACTGCAGCCAGTGATCGTGCCCTTAATTCAGCCTACTTTACCCCACTTGGTAGCAAACCTGTGGTCTATAATAGCAGCATTATTTCCCAGTGCTCCTATGGTTATCAGTCCAAGAGGTGACACAGCATACCAAGGAGTCTGCCCTGAGCCAAACTTGTGCAGTGTTCTACCCACAGAATGCTCCCTCTAACTAGGTCATGCCTCATTTACCCTGATGTTTCCACAAGCACTACCCATCTCCTTTCACCCCAGTCTGAGTGATGTGTGTAACCTTCTCTGCACAGAAGCCAGTATGTATGGGTGGAGTTTGAGGAAAAGGAAGGTGGGGAGGGAATTATTCCTCTGTGCATCTCAACAGGGACCACTGTTGGGCACTAGAGAAGTTCCCAGGCTGGTTAGACTTCATCTGCTTGGGGGCACAAATTAGGTCACATTACATAATACCTAAAATGCCCCCACTTCTTCCTGCCCACAAGACATCACATTCCTTGAATCTCACTCTTAGGTGTTTCCGGGAATCCTCAGAGAGTTTGAGTTTCTTTTTTTTTTTTTTTTTTTGAGACAGAGCCTCAAGCTGTCCCCCTGGGCAGAGTGCCGTGGCATTACAGCTCACAGCAACCTCCAGCTCCTGGGCTCAAGCGAGTCTCCTGCCTCAGCCTCCCAAGTAGCTGGGACCACAGGCGCCCGCCACAATGCCCGGCTATTTTTTGGTTGCAGCCATCATTGTTGTTTGGCGGGTCCGGGCTGGGGATTCGAACCCGCCACCTTAGGTGTACGTGGCTGGCGCCTTAGCCGGTTGAGCTATAGGCGTCGAGCCGAGTTTGAGTTTCTTATCCTCTACTATTTCCTGGAAATGGTGAAGCTTGTTCCCTGCCCTTGCTCATTACTCAAGATCTTTGCACTCACAGGGAGGCATCTGAAACATCACTGACAAGCAGGAGGTACATCCTGAGGTTCCCAGCGCTGGAGACACTGATGTTGGATGACAACAAACTCTCCAATCCCAATTGTTTTGCCAGCCTAGCCGGGCTCAGGAGGTAAAGCCACAAGCCTCTCTCTGCAGGGCCCTCTATTACCCCCAGCCTTATGCACATTCTGAGTGCTGCTCTGAAGCCAAAAGCCTGGGTTTAAATCCCAGCTTCACCACTTATCTCTGCTGTGTGGCCACGGGTAAGTCATTTATTCCCTTTGAACTTTAGCTCCTCTATAAAAATGGGCATCAGTCAGTAAGGCCATTTTTTATCATGTGACTAAATTAGAAGCAATAAAGAGAAAGGAGAATGGGAGGAGATACTACACCAGACAGAATCCTGACCCTGAGAGAAGAGACAAAAAAGAATCAGAAAAAGAAATTGAACTGCTGAGTTCTATGTATTTGAAGTAAAGAAAACATTGGCATTTAAATGGTCAAGCTTTAGATTTCCTAGAACATTTACTTTGGATTCAGCTACTATTTTATGCCAGACCAGTTACATATTGTCTCATTTAATCTTCACAAGAAGTTTGAATGGTTAAGGAATATCCCCATTTTAGAAATAAGGATATTGAGGTCCATAAAGAATAAGTCCCTGGCTCAGGATCACACAACAAGAGTAAGAGTCCAAGCCTACTTCCATGTTTTTTCCCTAAAGTTGCTTGGTAAATATCCCTGAGGTATCATTATTGCTGTATTCATTTTCCTTAATTGAAGACTGAAGAAGTTAAGCCTGGACCAAAACAGGATTTTCCGGATCCCGTACCTACAGCAGGTTCAGCTCCATGATGGGTCGGGGGACTGGTTTCCAGGCAGGGGAAGTCCCCAGAAAGAGCCCCAGTCTGTGCTACAGTCCAAGCCATGGACGAATGAGATCTCAGAGGCTCAACCAGATTATACTGTACTGCCCATGAAAAAGGATGTTGACCGGACAGGTGAGTGAGATCTCTCATTCCAGATTCTAGCCCCATACTGGAAATAAACTTTTGAGGGTTAATTCTGAAAGTCTGTGGCTCCCTGGGGAGCTGCTGCTTTTAAGCTGAACTATTACTATTCAGAGAGATGAATATTTCAGTGACTTACCAAGTGGCTCTATCAGTTAAGATGCTCTTGAAATTCAAATAAAGATGGATACGTTTTTGTTTTGTTTTGTTTTGTTATTAAATCATAGCTGTATACATTAATGCATTTATGAGGTACAATATGCTAATTTTATATACAGTTTGGAATGCTTACATCAAACTGTTTAACATAGCCTTCACCTCACTGACTTACTGTGTTAAGACATTTATATTCTGCAGTTAATAGATTTGACATGTACCCTTGCAAAATGCACCATAGTTGTGGTCCCACCAATTACCCTCCCTCCATCTAACCTCGCCCCTCCCCTCCCCCTCCTTTTTCCTCCTTCATTCTGGGCTATAGCTGTGTTTTATCTTTCATATGGAAGTGAGGGTGATTATATATTGGTTTCATAATAGTACTGAGTACATTGGATACTTTTTCTTCCATTCTTGAGATACTTTACTAAGAAGAATATGTTCTAACTCCATCCATGTAAGCATAAAAGAGGTAAAGTCTCAATCATAATATTCCATGTTATACATATACCATACCACAATTTATTAATCCATTCATGAGTTGATGGGCACTTGGGCTTCTTGCATGACTTAGCAATTATGAATTGGGCTGCAGTAAACATTCTGGTGCAGATATCTTTGTTGTAAAGTGACTTTTGGTCTTCTGGATATATACCTAGTAGAGGAATTGCAGGGTCGAATGGGAGGTCTACTTTTACATTGATACTTTTTTTTTTGTTAAGTCATTTGTACATAGATCATGAATACATTTATACCATTATGGGATTCAGTGTGTTGATTATTTGTACAAATTGGAGTGCTTACATCCTACTAATCAACATAGCCTTCACCTCATTTACCCAATTACAGCATTAAGACATTTGTGTTCTACACCTGATAGAGCCAACTTGTACTTGCAGTATGCTCCATAGGTGTTGTCCCCCTCTATCAACCCATCCCCCTCCCTTCCACTCTCACTCCCTTTCCCTCACTTATCCTAGGCTAAAGTTGTGTTTCATTTTTCTTTTTTTTTTTTTTTTTTTTTT